TCTCACTTTGTCTCTTTCTTTCTGTCTCTCTCTGGTCAAATTAAATGAATGATAAATGAAAAGTTGAATAAATAATTGTTTTTATAAAAAGTCACATAAGAATGCAAATACATGCACTCTCCCTCCTCGCTTTACGACCGAGCTCCATTCCCACCAGGTCATTAAGTAAACTGGTAGACGAGCAAGGAGCTTAGGGCAGGTGTCCTGCGGCACGTCCGGGCAACGGGGGGCACACGTGTTTCAGTAGCTGACAGGGGACAGCACGCCAGCCCCATGTCATCTCTCATACAGATCACAGCACAGTAATATCAATGCAGTGCAATTATGACCTACAAGGTGCATTATTATGTATAATAAGGTATAAATGAAAGGACAGTATTGCACGATGGCGAACGCTTCATGGAGTGATTACTAAGCAACCAGGAAACGAGACAAAAACCCAGATCACACAGACTGAGAAAGGGGGTCCCCGCGCTGGAGAACTGGTCGTTATGTCTGAGCGGTCATTAAACAGGTGGGTCATTAAGTGAGGAGCGGCCGTAACCTAAACTAGCTAAATCAATGTAGGAAGAAATACAAAGGAAGCCCAAAGCAGGAGAATCCGCACTGCCTGATTTCTGTCTCACTGTACAGCTACGGTAACCAAGACAGCACAGTGGCTCCGGACAAATCGATCCACGGAACGAAACTGGCCTGCGAGTGGCAGTCAACTGGTTTCAACAGAGGCCACGAGCATTTCGGTGAAGGCTTGTCAGCCAGTGGGAGAAAACCTGCCTCTGCCTCACACAGAGACAACATGTAATCCTAGGTGATCCCAGACCTACACATAAGCAAAATCACAAAGCTGCCGGAAAAATCCAGGACACGGTCTTCCTGACAAAGACAAAGCAGACAAGTATTCCCTAAGACACACAACAAAGGCCTTACCTATAAATGAAAAATACAGTATTTCAGTCTTTGTCAAAATTAAAAAATAAAAAAGCAATGTTAGAAGCAAGAAAAGGCGGGCCCGGGCGTGGTGGTGCAGACGTGAGGGCGCTGGTTTGCAAGGCTGAGGCCACGTGCGAACCCGGGTTCAGTTCCTGGATCAACAGAAACTGGCTGGGCCTGGGACGCAGCGGGCTTCAAGGCCAGGACAGGAAGGATCACTGTGGCAAATCTCTGGGGCCCAGCAGGTGGCGTGGAGGTTCAGAGCTGGATACCAGTGGCCGCCTGCATGGCTCGGGTCCCGGACCTGGTGGCTCGAAAATCATTCTGGACGTGTGTGTATGCATGCCCAAGATCCCAAGAGGAGAACAGAGAAGGGATTATGGCATCTCCATCCCTCCTTGGGAGTAATTTCTCACTTTCCACCTCTCTCATGAACGCACATATCCCATAGCAAAACAACAACAACAACAAAAACCACCTCTCAGGGCTGGATATGGGTACAGCAGGAAAACGCGGCCGTGCAAGGCTGACTGCATGGAAGGTTGTGTGCTTGTGTCTGGAGACATCTAAGTACCCCAGGTATGGAGGCTGAAACCGGGGTGGGGCGCAGCAGCCAGACCCTGTGGGGTGCAGTCTGTCTGCTTGCCTGCCTGTCTTCTCTGTCTCTTTCACATATGTGATAAATGAGCTTTAAAAATATTCTTCCGGGCCAGCCAGTGCATGGTGGTTAAGTTGGCTAGATCCTGCATAGCTGCCTGCACAGTTTGAGTCCCGGACCAAGCAGCTGGAAAAGCACATTAGACACGTATGCATGTGTGTAAAATCCTGCCAGGAGAGAGAAACGGAGGAGAGGGGATTGTGGCACGGCCGCCCCCCTGGTGGGGTGAGAGGTGCTTTTCTGGCTCTCTCTGGCAAGGACATACGTCTCTGACAGAATATTTTAAAAATATGTCTCTAGGCCAGCAGGTGGCATGGTGGTTAAGGTGTTGGATCTCACGTGGTAGACCGCGGTTCTAGGCCTGGACCTGGTGGCTTGCTTTCTCACTTTCCCTCTGTCTCCCTCTGGTGAGTACATGTGCTCTATAACAAATGAAGTGATAATGATAAGTAAAACTGAAATGATTTTTTCAAAGGAAAAAATGTTTCTATTACTTTCTCTCCACCCTCCAGTGCGTGCACTCTCTCTCTCCCTCCCTCTCATTAAAAAAAAAAAAAAAAAGGCCCAGCTGTGGTAGCACACAGGTCCTGTCACTGCTTAGCAAGCTGAAGCCACACGGGAAGCCCGAGTTTGGTTCCCAGACAAACCTGAACACTCCCAGTGCAGGTGTGCACACCTGTAATCCCAGCTAGCAGGGAGGCTGACGGAGGGCCATGGCACAGTGAGACCGTCAAAACTGCCTCCCTCTGCCTCTCTCACATTCTCTCTCCCCTACTTCCCACCATCTCTTGCTCATAAAGGAAAAACAGAAGAACATGGAAAGGCTGACCACAGCTTGGGAGAAAGTATTTACAATACATATATCTGAAAAGAGACTTCACCCAGAAAACATTAATAATCTACAAATAAATAATGAAAAGACAACCCAATCAAAACGGGAAAAATTTGAACAGCATAAATCTCAAGATATAAAAATAAGCAATGAGCACCAGAAATGTGCGTCACATAGTCATCCAGGAAACGCTCATGAAAACCACACCGGGACCCCGCGTCAGCCTCTCCGGTAGCGGAAATTCACAAGGCAGACAGGAGCAAGTATTTGCGAGAAAGGGCAGAGTGGGGACTCTCACACCCTGCTGGGGGATAAAATGAGACAACCTCTTTGGAGGTCATTTTGGTAGTTTCCTATAAAATTAGACACACAAATCCCCTCAACCCAACAATTCCCCTCTGAGGTATTTACTCAAGGCGGAAGATGAGATTCCAGGGACCAGCAGGTGGTGTACAGGCTATGTCGCTGGACTCCCACGAGTCAACCACAGTTTGAGTCCAAGACCCGGTGGCTTAAAACTCATGCTGGGCGTGTGTGTGTGTGTGCCCAAGATCTCGAGAGAATGGAGGAGAAGGGATTGTGGCATGGCCATCCTCCCAGGAGTGGATTTCTTGTTTCTGTCTATCTCTCTGGCAAGCAGACATGCCCTATAGCAGAAATTTCTCTTAAAAAAAAAATTCCAAAGATGTACTTGAGCAGAATGTAGAACGTCTATCGCAGCTTTCAACACAACGGCCCCGACTGCGAGCACTCCGCATGCCTGTCAGAAGAGCCTGGGTAGGGCAGCAGTCCCACGGAGGTTCAGGCAGCTGGTCCCACACGGCCAGCTGCGTGATTGAGTCCCAGACCCAATGGTTTAAAATCACACCGGATGCGTGTGCCTGCATGCCCCAAATCCCGGGAGGTGAGTGGAGGAGAAAGGACTGCAGTGTGGCCATGCCCCCCAGGGGTGAATTTTCACTTTCAGGCTCTCTGATTCTCTCTGGCAAGCATACACACCCTACAGCAAAACTAAAAAATAAATAAATAGCACAAATAAAAAGAGAATGGATAAACAAATTGTGGTATATTCATATAATGAACTATTACCAAAAAATCTGAATAACCACGGACAGAGGAACATGATGAATCTCAAAACCAGCAGATTCTGGGCAGCAGGGAGTGTAGTGGTTTAGGCGCTGGACTCCCACAGGCCGGCCACGGTGCAAACCCCGGACCCAGAGGCTGGAAACTCACACCAGGTACATGGCATGGGGTGCTTCCTCACTCGTCCCCGCAGCCTCGGTCTGTCCCTCCTGGGCTCACACGTGCCCTCTGGCAACATTTAAAAGGGAAAGACTTCACACAGAGAAGTGAAAACGTGGGGCCAAAGTTTCACCAGGACTATGCTGGGTCTGGTCTCGGGTTCTGGTCTTCTGGTTAAAACTTCCTCAGCAAAGTCTGAGTTCCCAGATCAAACTCCCTTTTTTTTCCAGATGTTTTTGCCTTAGGGTGCATGTACCCGTTAGAGAGAAAGAGAGACAGAGACAGAGAAAGGGAAAGTGAGAAATCACAGCTGGGGGATGGCCACACCACAATCCCTTCTCCATTCTCCTCCTGGGATTTTGGGCATGCATGCAAAAGAGGAATGGACCTTCTGTTAACATCTGCTTTCTGCTGACCCTAGGCTCACTGGGGTTTCTGACAAACACCCTGGAGCCAGAACGAGGATACCACTGACAGACTCCAGCACACATACCCGGGGTAGCTTCTAATCCACGGGCAATGCATCTGAGACAAGAACCGACCCCTCCGGGACCCACAGCGGCCCACGTAGGCTCCTGGGCACACCCTCTGGATTTTGCCCTGGCCTCTGTTACCCCGTCTGCCGCTCACGGCTTCCTTCTCTCCAGAGCTGCCCAGCTCCTGCTCAAGGCTGCTTCAACATCTGCTCCCCAGCACCCTTCTGCTGCCCGGCCCACGAGCAGGCTACACCAGACTCCAGCTACCCGCAGAGTGGCAAGGGGGTCTGAGGTTAGTTCTGGCTCACTGGGAAGGGGGTGGGGGGCTGTCTTGACGATGCACGTGATGAATAACAAACGCACACTACCAGCACGCGGATGGATGATTAGCTCTGAGGGCAGCGACCTCAGTCCCGGGGTAACTGTGCCTTGCAAACATTGCCTAGCAACCGAGGAGCCCGGTGAGCGGGATCGCTCGCTGCCGCTCCCAAGTGGAGGGCGCGGGGAAGGCAGGCACAGCCGCCTCCCGGAGGAGACCGCGCTCAGACCTCAGACCGAGGCCGCAGGTGCTTCTCCACCAGCCGGCAGGGCGCCCGCCCACGTACTCGCGGAAGGGAGGCTTTTGTTTCAGCGCAGCACCGCACAGCACAAAAACGTGGTTTTGACAGTCCTGTCTCCATGACCGTTTGTTTGGCTGTGCTCCAATATCTATGCTTCCAATGCAGTGAGTGAGTGTCACAAGCTAAGAAGGTAAAGATGACCTCAGAATAACCGAGGCTGAGCTAAACGCTGCAGGAGACCCGGGCACTGCGCGCAGCTTTGAGCTCTGCTTTCCCACCGAGATAGAAAGAGCACATACGAGCGAGATCTGTGTCTGGATCGCCTGTTGTTGGGGTCCGCTTGGTTTTTTTCCTTTTGTCTCCTTAATACGGCTTCCCACTGAGGCGCTGAATCAACCATATCGTTCTCCTGCCGTATTCTGAAAAGAAAAGCCATTAGTCTGACGTTAACACCCATACAAAGTGCCTTGTTAAACTTGCCTTTAAAAGTTACCTAAGCAGCAGCAATTTCATTATAATCTGAAAGCTAAGAATGTAGTAACTCGATAATACACCCGATAATACACCCGGTAGTCGGTAAACGTGCACTTCCAAGGGGTCTCCAAAGCTCATGGAAAGCACATGTTATGAAAACACTGCATGGTTTTCAGGAAAGTTTTTTGCACCAAAATAAACTTGTGATTTTTAAAAATGTTATTTATTTTATTTTATTTATTACTATTAATTTTTCATTTAACCAGAGAGATACAGAGAGAGGAAAGGTGAGCAAGTAAGCCACCAGGTCCGAGATTCGAACCACAGTTCACCAAGTGGGGGTCCAGCACCTTCACCACCACACCTGCCAGCCCCAATAAACTTACATTTTAATTCCATTTTCCTCATACACATTTAAGTATATGCTAAAATATTCAAGTTTAAACATGTAAAAATATATTGGTTACTTCTGGATTTCCACCTCTTAAACTTTCTAAGGGCCAGCGGGTGGCACGGTGGTTTGGATGGCTGGATCTCACATGGCTGACTTTGTGGCTTAAGTCCCAGACCTTGTGGCTTGAGAAACGTGTGCATGCCCAAAATCCTGAGAAAAGAATGGAAAAGAAGGGACTGCAGGGTGGCCACCCCCCCACCTCAAGATGATTTCTCATTTTTTGTCTCTGTCTCTCTCTAGGAAGCATACATACTCTATAGCAAAACTTTTTTAAAAAACTAAAGAAAAAATGAATCAAATAAAAATTCTTTTTTTTTTTTTTTTTGGAGAGATTTTTGCTATAGGGCACGTGCGCTTGCCAGACAGACAGAGAGAGACAGAGAGACAGAAAGCCGGAAATCACCCACCAGGGGGATGGCCACGCCACAATCCCTTCTCCTCCATTCTCCTCTTGGGATCTTGGGCACACACATACACACGCCCGGCGTGAGTTTAAGCCACCGGGTCTGGGACGCAAACCGCGGTCGACTACGTGGGAGTCCAGTGACATAGCCATTACGCTAACTGCTGGTCCCCAAATAAAAATTCATTTAAAACACATTGAAGTTTGTGGACCCGCATGGTGTGGTGGCTTAAGGTGGCTGGCTCCCACCCAACAGCATGGCTAACAGCATGGTTAGCCCCAGACCCTGTGGCTGGAAACACATGCTGGGGACGTGTGCATGTGTGTCTGGAATCCTGAGAGGAGAAACGGAGAAGGGGTCTGTGGTGTGACCATTCACCACGGGGGAGCACTCTCACTTTCCCTCTCTCCCTCTCTCTCTCTCTCTCTCTCTCTGCCTTGCTCTGGTAAGTGCACATGCTCTCTAGCAGAATTTTTTAAAAATGTAAGTTTATGGGACCAGCAGTTGGTGTAATGGCTATGTCGCTGGACTCCCATGTAGTTGACCGTGGTTCAAGTCCCAGACCCAGTGGCTTAAACTTATGCCAGGCGCGTGTGCGTGCATGCCCAAGATGCCGAGAGGAGAATGGAGAAGAGATTGCGGCGTGGCCATCACCACCCCCTGGGAGGTGATTTCTCTGTTTCTCTTTCTGGCAAGCGCACGCACCCTGTAGCAAAAACCTCTAAAAATATATATATATATAAGTTTATAATAAAAAAAGAGTGGTGATGGGACAGCCCCAAAACACAGCAGCCAAGCACTTTACAGAGAGCTGGATCCTACGTGGCTGACCAGTGTGAATCCTGGCCCTGGCAGCTTAAAAAACATTCCAGGGGCATGTGTGTGTGCCTGGAATTTCAGTAAGACATAACAGCGAAGGAAAGGGGGCTGCTGCGTGTGACATGCCCCTCTGGGTGTGCCCTCTCTCTGGCAAATGCGCATACCCTCTGGAGATTAAAACAATAAAAAGAAACAGGGGTATCTGCTAGAGTCAATCCTGTTTTTTTCTTTTTGAGAAATTCTTGCTATTGGGATTGTGTGCTTGCCAGAGAGACAGAGAAAAACCAAGAGACAGAAAGCGAGAAATCACCCCCCGAGGGGGATGGCCACACCACAATCCCTTCTCGTCCATTCTCATCCAAGATTTTGGCACCCATGGACACGTGCCCAGAATGAGTTTCAAGCTATGGAGGCCAGGACTCGAACCATGGTCAGTCATGTGGGAGTCCAGTGCCTTAATCACCATGCCACCTTCTGGACCCATATAGTGTCAGTCCTAAATGCTAGTTGAAACACAATAAATCATTTTACTTTGAAATGCTCTTAAAATTTCACACGAGGGTCAGCTGCACTGGTGTAGGCAGCAGGGCACGGTCACGTGACAGGGGAGCCACCCGGGGGCCCAGGTTCAGGTCCTGCGTCGACCTGCACACACCTGGCACTTCCGTGAGTGTCCCTGATCCCAGCTGGCTGGGAGGCTGGGGAGCACAATGGCATGGCAAGACTCTGGAAAGTGCACCTAACTGTCTCTGTTTGTCTGTCTTTTTTCAGAAACAAACGGAAACTTAAACTTAAAAAGGAATTCACACGGGGACCAGCAAGTGGCATGCTGGATTCCTACATGGCCAATCACAGTTCAAATCCAGGACCCAACGGCTTGAAAATCGCGCTAGGCACATGTATGTACATGCCCAATACCAAGAGGAGACTGGAGGAGAAGGGACTACGCTGTGGCCATTCCCCTGGGGGGCAATTTCTCACTTTCCCTTTCCCTCTGTCTCTCTCTGGCAAGCACATGCGCCCCATGCCAAAATCTAAAGAAAAGAAATCACAGATATTACTAAAGGTTTTATTAATACACGCCAGCTATAACTGTTTTTTAACATAGAAAACTGGGGGTCCAGAAAATGAAACACGGGACATAGCGCCCTAGCGGAGCACGCACACGCCATCCTGGCTCTGCTCCCGTCAGAGGGCACCAGGTGGACGCTCTGCGTGGCCAGGCAGGAACATGAGGAAGAGGGGAGGGAGACCCCGGGAGCGCCCGCACTCACCCAGAGCCATCTCAGGGAGGTGTTGCCAAGTCTCACTTTAAAAAAAGATAACCTGCCAACCCGAGTTTTTAAAGTGAGCTCTCCCAATTTTCGAGTACTGGCGACTAACTCTGAACGTCAAGGCACTGTGCGGACGTAGCAAAGCCCATCTGCGGCCCGCTCGGCCTGCAGAGGATGCCTCTGACCCAGCGGGGCCTCCTGACCAGGTCTCCGGGTGAGGTGCCGAGGACCACGGGAGAGAAGCCAGTCTCCGGGGCACCTCGCCCCGCCTGCAGCGGCCAGCGTTCCTTACAAAGCCAACAGCTCTTACTTCAATATTTAGATTTTTTTCAGTTTACTATAGAGCGTGTGCACTCACCAGAGACGGATGGGCAGAGGAGAAAAGTGAGTCACAGCCCTGTCTCCTCTTGGGAGTACGGAAATGCATGCACACGTGCCCGGCGTGTTTTGAAGCTGCCAGTCCAGGGTGGGAATCGTGCCATCGGCCAGTGGGACCCGGCGGCCTTAGCCACCACGCACCTCAGTGGCCGTGAACATTTCACTTTTAATTTACAGAAGCTCTCCCGGACAAAAAGTCCTAAATGCTAGTTGAAACACAATAAATCATTTTACTTTGAAATGCTCTTAAAATTTCACACGAGGGTCAGCTGCACTGGTGTAGGCAGCAGGGCACGGTCACGTGACAGGGGAGCCACCCGGGGGCCCAGGTTCAGGTCCTGCGTCGACCTGCACACACCTGGCACTTCCGTGAGTGTCCCTGATCCCAGCTGGCTGGGAGGCTGGGGAGCACAATGGCATGGCAAGACTCTGGAAAGTGCACCTAACTGTCTCTGTTTGTCTGTCTTTTTTCAGAAACAAACGGAAACTTAAACTTAAAAAGGAATTCACACGGGGACCAGCAAGTGGCATGCTGGATTCCTACATGGCCAATCACAGTTCAAATCCAGGACCCAACGGCTTGAAAATCGCGCTAGGCACATGTATGTACATGCCCAATACCAAGAGGAGACTGGAGGAGAAGGGACTACGCTGTGGCCATTCCCCTGGGGGGCAATTTCTCACTTTCCCTTTCCCTCTGTCTCTCTCTGGCAAGCACATGCGCCCCATGCCAAAATCTAAAGAAAAGAAATCACAGATATTACTAAAGGTTTTATTAATACACGCCAGCTATAACTGTTTTTTAACATAGAAAAGTGGGGGTCCAGAAAATGAAACACGGGACATAGCGCCCTAGCGGAGCACGCACACGCCATCCTGGCTCTGCTCCCGTCAGAGGGCACCAGGTGGACGCTCTGCGTGGCCAGGCAGGAACATGAGGAAGAGGGGAGGGAGACCCCGGGAGCGCCCGCACTCACCCAGAGCCATCTCAGGGAGGTGTTGCCAAGTCTCACTTTAAAAAAAGATAACCTGCCAACCCGAGTTTTTAAAGTGAGCTCTCCCAATTTTCGAGTACTGGCGACTAACTCTGAACGTCAAGGCACTGTGCGGACGTAGCAAAGCCCATCTGCGGCCCGCTCGGCCTGCAGAGGATGCCTCTGACCCAGCGGGGCCTCCTGACCAGGTCTCCGGGTGAGGTGCCGAGGACCACGGGAGAGAAGCCAGTCTCCGGGGCACCTCGCCCCGCCTGCAGCGGCCAGCGTTCCTTACAAAGCCAACAGCTCTTACTTCAATATTTAGATTTTTTTCAGTTTACTATAGAGCGTGTGCACTCACCAGAGACGGATGGGCAGAGGAGAAAAGTGAGTCACAGCCCTGTCTCCTCTTGGGAGTACGGAAATGCATGCACACGTGCCCGGCGTGTTTTGAAGCTGCCAGTCCAGGGTGGGAATCGTGCCATCGGCCAGTGGGACCCGGCGGCCTTAGCCACCACGCACCTCAGTGGCCGTGAACATTTCACTTTTAATTTACAGAAGCTCTCCGGGACACTGCCCACGCATGTCTCTCGGGCCGTGGCGAGCAGCCTGGGGCTGCCAGGTACCCACCCCACGGTGCCG